ACGATAACAATCTTTAAAACTAATAGTATAATAAATATTATATTAAACGGTAATCATCGCCGTAAATATGAGAGAAAAAGACACTCGAATATAATAAATCACATTATATAATATATATATATATATACATATATATATGTATATAAAAAACGTAAAATATTAAAATGCTTAAAATTTGTGTTGGAAGACGAGGACGTCGATATGCATTTCGTTGACAATATAAAACCATTATTGTATTGACTTTTTATTTTTATTGTTAGTTAATATTTATGTAAACGGTGGCCAAACCGAAACAATTATATCTTATATGTATTCTATAAATGATCAAAAATAGTGTCAATTACAATTATTATGTGCCTGTTGCACAGTTTAATATAGGAATAATGTTACAATAAAGATTATAATAATATATATTATGTTGAAATAGTAAGCGTTGGATCACACAAACGAACAATTTACGCAATTTTATGGATTTAATTATAATATGTTAGCAAAAATGTAATAATTACGACATATTAGGTAATTAAATATTATGATAATCATTAAAAAAATTGAATAGATTATAACTAAAGAAAAAAAACGTATAATACCTAATATAACCTAACCTAACCTAACCAATAATATCAGATAGAAAGGTAAGTATTCTAAAGTTTTATATTTTTTAATTTTTTAATATTGTGATATTAAAAAATAGTATACATATCGGCTTCATAATATTATATTAATATGCTACCTACCTTATTTATTTGATAGTTTTCTCATGTTGAATTTAATTCTCGTATTAACCGTCAAAAAAGTACATTAAAAAATAAAAAAAAATATAAAAGTTATGTAAAGTAATAAATAAAGTTATAAAGTTATAAAGTTGATAAAGTAATAAAGTTATAAAGTCATAAAGTGATGTGTATGCATTTTATAAATTAATAACAAGGATAATGAAACGATGATATGAAGTAAAATATGTAACATGAAGATTCAAAACAGATAAGAAATTTCTAATTTGATTTGATTATTATGAACACAGTAACGTATTCCTTACATTGAACTAATAATATGCTAATGATGGTCCTTATAACAAACGCAAATCTTATGTTTTTTTTTTTTTTTTTTTCAAAAGAATCGTGAGTTGAGTAATTTTTTATTTACTTATAGCCCCTTAGAGTTCACTATATGACTACGGATTTTACTAAATACACTATGATTTAGGTACGCAATTTTAATAGTTAAACAAGTTAATAATGGGCGTTATCCTTAGACTGTACACAATACTTAATAATAAAATTAATGATAATTGTATCAAATAGACTAATTAAAATATTGCATTTCCAATATTGTTTTCAATACAATGACAGTATGTTTTAACGATAGTTCTAAATTTGAAAATATCCAAATAATATTCAATGAGTACTAGGTAGTAATGGAATTCTACAAATAAGTTTACATTTTCATACCAATAAATAAATGTTAAATACTAAAAGACAATTAATTGTGACATTCGAATAAGGCAAAACTAAGGTATAATAAGCAAAAGGGACGATAAATCTAATATGAAATAGAACTTGAAATGCAAAATTAAGCATTTAACTTGATAACTATCAAAAATAGACAATTTATAGAAATTTATCAATATTGCTTACAACAATGAAATCTGGTAAACTAGAATTAAATTAGTATAAATGTAGTATACATAAAATGCATTTTGGAAACTACCTATGATAATATTTCTAATCTAATGTAATTAATATTGTAATGAACAGCCAATTAAGGGTAAAGTAATATTAGGTGTTAAATTATGAATAATTTTTTCTTTTACAGCAACATTATGTGAATCTTAAGATATTTTATGAAATCAATGCAATATAAATCATTGAAACAAAAGCATATTATGAAGATAATTGACATTCCGAATAACAGTAGTTTCAGTTGCAAGTTATGCACAAAGTCATTAAAAATGTAAGCCCAAAGTAAAATTAACACGRCAAACAAAATAAAAACTAAATCATATTTATAATAATTAAAAATTGCTTATTAATTCACATTTTACACTATTGGTAGTTATTTATATAGCATGGATATACTTCATCAACTGTAATAAGACATATTATTGAACATAATACAGTAGGTATTGTAATATATAAATTTAAAAAAAAATGTTTAATATCAATTTAAATTAAGTTCAAAGTAGAATAGTAAAAAATTAACTCTGTAATAAGATTATATGATACTTATGAGACATTTGTATGTGTTTAAACATTAAATAATTATTGTGTACGAGTATAGCTAACTATTTAATATTAAGATTAAATATATTATGTGTAAAACACAATGATAGAAATACAATTTTTTAATAAATATGAAACAATAATTCAGTCATGAACTACTTCTTAAGTGTATTATTTTTAGTTTTATATGTATAGATTAATGTTTGAACTTGACCAGATATTGAATCATCTAGACTCAGGTTAAATTTTTGTCCTGATGTTATAAGACAAAATTAAAGATTTTCAAAAAAAAATCTAAATCTGGTAAATTTCTATTATAAATTGATTAGGTACCAATAAAATGAAAAAAAAAAATAACAATAGTAATTTATGCAAATTATTCAAGTTTGTAATACCGATACATACTTACAGCTATCAAATATGTGTCTATAATTTACCCATAAAATAAAGATGTAAGTTAGATATTCTTTTAAAAATCAGCCGTATCAGAAATTCTACAAAGAAAAAAATATACACAAAATGTGTTGTTGAAGTATCGATCGAGTAATAGCCTAATTATATTATATAAACTATATCATAAAATAAAAATGTCGTCTATGCGATTATTGCTGTGTCGATCAAAATATTAAAAAACGATATGATTTATAATTTAAACAAAAACCCCAGTTGGTTAGCACATAATATAATATTCTCATGATTTCAATTATTTATTCCATCGTATCGTACTGAACTTTCTTGATTTTAAAGTGTCTGAAAACCGCATACCCTCCAACCGTTAGTACGGCGACGGCGGCTAAAGTGATTCCGAATATGAACGGTACTGTTTCGTTTCGCATGGCACCAGCACCGATCGACGAACACTGGTAAGCTGTAACATCAAATCATACATAGAAATATTTTTTTTTTTTCAACAGATATAACACATTTTGTAGTTACACTAAATGTAAACATGTATATGGCATACTATTTATAATCAACATAATTACACACCAGTCATGTGAATACTAAATCTCCGCTTACTAGAAAACTATAGAAAGTAAGCGGGAAAAGACGGACCAACTTTTTGTGTTTAACCTACTTCAGAGAAAGGTTGACCATCCCATCTTCTTGAACGCATAAGTATACGTATACCAAGTATTCACACTAGATCTCAAGAGCTATTCTTCCTTCCAACTTTAAGATCCAATTTTTTAATGAATGATCCTTATGTCAGAGCCATGCGCTCTTTAAGTAATAATGATATTGATCTTTGGCCTTAATACAGTACTTAAGTTCCTCTTGTTTATATTTAAAAACTATTTATTTATGTTATTTACCGTTTTAATTATTAATTACCATACACATTTATATTATCATTTGTTTCTACCTTTGTAAAAGCCATTAGGCGTTTATTCATAAAATAAATAATTTAATAATACTATTAAGACTAAATTTACTCTCATATTAAAATTTAAAATTCGATACCAAGGAATCGTTTATTCAGATAATATGACAGAATTAAATATTCGTTTTATCAATTATGTAATATGCGCTTATGCGTATTTACGTACATATTATATATTATGTATATTTTATAAATATTCAAATAATAACTATGACGACAAAGATGATTACATTTTGTGGCGCAATTGAGTTGGCTGCCGAATACAGTTAGTCAATATTTTACTCTCAATTATTATCTTTGAATTGGCTCTAAAGTTTTTTTTTTTTTTTTCAAAAATATATCGGTTACCAAAATGTTGTTAATAATTTGCAGTTAGACGTTATTGTTTGGAATAGTAGACGTCGATTAAACGTGTATTAAACATCTACACTCAAGATAACCAAATAAAACGATTTTTAATTTTAATGCATGGTTTATGATATCACATTCGTATATTTTAGTTAATTATTTTAGATTATTTAGTAAATATAATATAAAGATTTCACAAGAAAAGAGAAATTATAAAATCTTAACAATAATTAAAAAATTTAATCACAACATTTATTATAATATCTGAGCACGTTTTTATAAAAAAAACATGTATATCATATGAATTAAAATTAGATAAAAAAACATTAAAACACAGACTATATAAACTTTATGCTTCGTTTTTATTTTTCATTGATAATTTAAATAAAAATATTATATTCAACTATTTTTTTAGGTTTATACTTATTGGCTAATATATACATAGATCATATTATAGATTAAATTCAATAATTATTTATATAAATAATAGTATAGATCTAGATTTAGATTATATTTAAGTGCAAACTGCCAGGCTAGACTAGGTTGAAGTTTTAAAAATAATCGCGTATAATATGAGAACTCCTGCTTATATAATAGTATTTTACAGTTTCGGGAGCCAATTCAAGGGTCGACTTCAAATTTACCCAAAATTGAGAGCCAATGTAATAGTGGTCAAATTTAGATCAACCGTTGACCTTATACTTAATTACGTATTATTACTTAAAGATACCAATTCTTTTATCTTCGTCATTAAAATTGTTTAGGTTTAAATTGGATTATTCACCTGAACAGAAATAAAATACAACTGTGACAAATTAGATAGGTATCATCACAGTTTTTTGATACGTAGTCTCCACCTCGCTCAAATCTTCACTTCGCCTATACCCTAGTGCTCCAATTATTGGCTGAAATTATCAATGTTAAGTTCATACAAGAACGTTTATTCAGTTGAATAATTTAAATGAAACACTTCTCTATGGAAAAAAAAAAAGTGTAAAAATGTACTTCTTAATTCATTAGTTCCCAGCTGATCCCCGTGCACTTCGTTACCCGTTAAAAATACCCATTTTAAGTGATTCAAAATGTTTGGTTAATTCATCGTTTATACTATACCCTCCTAGTTATGATCAAAACTTTCTATGACATATTTCCATGGATTTAACCTGCTATCTTAATCTCCATAATAGATTTTTTAACACAGTCATTTAAAATACAGGACTAAAAGTATATTATACAATCATAATATTTTATCGCATTTTTAGCTTTTTAAAAGTGAAACAGTTTTTAAAATTGGTATCTAATAACAAATTGCTAATTTTTTATTGTTCCATACTAAATTGTATAAACAATTGTAACCATAAAATACACAAAAATATTATATCTATAGAAAATATCAAATTTGCAGTAAAAAAATTAAGGGTAACTTATCAAGATAACCTATAGATTCATGGGATTGTCTAGCTTTCTGATGGTAAACATTTTAAAATCAGTTAAATAGCTCCAGAGATAAAATCGATAAAACAAACAATCTAAACAAATTCTTTCTTAGTGGGTGTTTACACCAGGAACCTTAGGTTTTCTTTATTATTATTATTATTATTATTATTTGTCATTATAGTAGGTAGCCCCGCGTAGGGTGCCTTAATTGGTAACATGTGTGACAAACCTGTGGACCCCAGTCATAGCGTCGGTAACGTGGCGATCCCACCGTTAAATATACTGCAAGGTATATTGCAATAGTTCTACACTTACTTTAATTAGTTGGAGTGGATTGGCCCTCTAGAATTGGGGTTGAGCGTTGGGCCAATGACCCAACCTTGGGAAAAACACTTGTTAAGAAACCTTCAAATTGGCCTYGGAACTAACTGGATTAATAACGTCAAACAACTGAATTTGAAACTGAATTTAGTTTAGGAACTTGGGAAATTAGAAACACTGAAAAAACCAAGAGCTTTTAAATATTTAATGGACTAGAAAAATTCGTATAAACTGGACGTTCTAGCACTGCAGGAGACATGATGACCTAACACTGAAAACATGAAGAAAAAAAATACGGAACTATTTTACAGTGAAACTGACGGTAGAAAACACAATAATGGGGTGGAATTTTTGCTTAATGATAAAGTGATTCATAACATACAGACTTTCATATCTGTGGATGATTGGATATTATACATTAAGATCGCCGAGAGGTTATTTTATCTGGTTATAATCAATTGTTAGGTTTCTACGGAGAACAAAGATGACGAAACTAAGGAAAAATTCTATGATGACCTAGATAGAGTGGTGAACAGCCTACCAACACACTCTATAAAAACTGTTGTAGGTTATATGAATGCTAAAGTGGGCAGAGATGCTATTTACAAACCCATAATTGGGCCAGACTGTCTACATGAGACAAGTAATAATWATTTACTAGGCTTATACGCTTTGCTACGTCAAAAAAATTTACAATAAGTAGTACGTTCCTCCCGAAAAAGGATATATAATATATATTATATATATATAAATCCACATGGGTATCGCCAAATGGTAGAGTACATAACATGTAAAAAATACCTAGAGAAAAACCCAACTTACAGAGTTTAGCCTACCCCAAAGTTCTAGAGAGAATTGTTGAAAAAGTTCATGGAAATATTCAAGGTGATCAAGGAACCAGGAAGAGAAAATGAAGCACGAAYCATAAATTTTGGTATAGTAAAAAAAATGGGGCAGAAAAGCTGGTTCAATAAAGAAGCAATATATAAAATAAATGATCTTAGAAAGACAGCTCTTCAGAATCTATCAATTGATGCTACAGATAAATACATGGAACAAATAAAGACTACTAACAAGATTTTAAGAAGATAAATGTTGATATTTTAAAAGGAAGTGATCATAAAATTAGAGATCAATAGTTGCGATACAAAAACATTCTTCAAAATAGCTGGTAACATCAAAGCGAGCTACAAACCACGATTTTTTCGAAAAGCTACTAAACAGACCATTTCACAACACGGTAAATTAAGAAATATAATTCTACATAGTATAACTATAAATTAAGGAATTCTCTCATGAAGAAATTGATTTAGCAGTGAAAGGCCTTAAAAATAATAAGGTGCTAGGTAAAGATAGTATAGTAGCAGAACTGTTTGAGAAAGGAAGGACAACGTTAAAGAGAAAATTAACAGAATTAATTAGAGAAATGTGAAAAAAAAAATGATACTAGACGAATGAACCACTGCTATTATTTGTCTTATATTTCAAAATGAAGTCCAGTAAAAGAATAAAAATATAGAGGTATTTCCTACCGGACGTTGGGTATTAATATTAACAACTACATAATAGTAAGACGAAGACAAAACATGCGAATGTGGCGTTCTCTTAAGCCATGGAAAGTATCATGAATTTGGTGTAGATCTGCTTTTAGAATTTATAGATTACAAACAGGCATATGGTAATATTTATAGGGGCGAGTTATGTAAAGGATTAAAAACACTTGAAGTATCGGGAATGAATGTGTATTTAACAAAAATGTGCGGTGAGAAGATAATTTGGAGAATGATTCTGAGCTATTTGAGTTAAAATCCGGCTTGTTCCAGGGGGACACACTGTCTCCTACATTATTCAACCTAGCTCTTGGAAAAATAGTAAGATATATTCATGAACAACGAAAAATGGAGATAATTGGAGAATCAGCGATGTTGGCTTACGCTGATGATATTGTAGTGATGGGAGAGACTAGAGCGGGAGTTGTCCAGAAATCTAAGAGACTGTTTAAGGCAAGCCTGTTAATGGGCTTAAATTTAAATGAAAATAAAACTAAGTACATGGTGATTTAAATAACCAATTTAAAGATAAATGATCTATCGGTAGATAGTTGAAAATTCGGAGTAGTGGTACAACTTCAACGATACACCAAGAGATAAATGAAAGAATCATGAGTGGTAAAAGATGTTACTATAGTATAATGAAGCTCTTAAATTAAAATTAATATCATGGACATCAAAGATACGCTTATACCATACCTATTTGCTACCATTAGTGGCGAACTCGAGTGAGACATGGTCATTAATAGGGAACGGATTTTAATTTAAATAAATATTTTTATGTAGTAATAGCATCGGAAAGTTTTCGATATATGTATACGTTTCATT